GGTCAGGGTACCACTTGAGAGACTCAGTTCTCTATTCTACCATGGAGATCTTGGGGATTGAGTTTAGGTTATAAGCTCAGTGACATGTGCCCTTAACAACCAAACCATGTTGCTGGCCAAATTTCTAATTCTTGATATTTCCAGAACACCTGTATTTTTCAAGTTCTATCCCTCTTATATGTCTAGCTTCTTTTTTTTTTTTGTCTGACCATTCCATTCTGAAATTTCTCTAGTTTGGCTATACATTTGTCAAGAAACAAATCATAGCCGGGCATGGCAGCTCATGTGTGTAATTCCAAAATTTAGGAGGAGGCTAAGGCAGGAGGACTCCCATGAATTTGAGGTCAGTCTAGGTGGATAAGTTCTAGGCTGTAAAGTAAGACCCTACATTAAGGGAAGGAAGGAAGGAAGAAAGGAAGGAAGGAAGGAAGGAAGGAAGGAAGGCAGGCAGGCAGGCAAAGTATGTTCCTCATTGGGCTTCTATTTTTCCTTTCTTTTTAAGCAACTGGTCCAGGAGTGGCAACTCTTACTAGAGTTAGAACACTTCTGTAATCTTTGAGCCTCTGGACAATACACAGGGCCTTCACAATTTAAGAGACATTGACAAATTTCTAGAGCAACTCATCATCTCTTTGCTTTAATCAAGAAATTTAGCAGTTATTTGATCAAGCAATTTGATCAAACAATTATTCTGAGTAATTTTCCATTTGAACAGCTTCTAGTTTCCAAGGTGGAGCTACCAGCATGCCCTTATCTTGGCTCCTCTCCTTCTTATCCTATATCTAATCCTTCGCAGAAATGTCTCTCAGGTTTATTTCCTTCTTTGAGCGCCTTTCTAAGCGTACCTCAGACTACCAGACCTCTGCAATTCACACTGTGTTCCCTGAAACAGCTCTCTTTTTGGTCTCACTGGCTGCCAGTTCTCTCTATTACTCATCCTCTTCAACATGCCTTATTATGTGTTTACTTCTTTCATCACATTCTTATAATTTGCTTTTCATTTTTTCTCAGATAGGATCTTGTTATATAGCTCAAGCCATCCTTGAACTTATAGTAAGTCCTGCCTTCCAAATGCTAGATTACAAAAGGGCATCACTATGCCTGATCCATGTCCTCCTCCTCCTCCTCCTCCTCCTCCTCCTCCTCCTCCTCCTCCTTCTTCTTCTTCTTTCTCTCTCTCTCTCTCTCTCTCTCTCTCTCTCTCTCTCTTAGTTGTTGTTGTCATTTTTTTGTGACAGGGTTTCTCTGTGTTGTAGCTCTGGCTATCCTGGAATTCACTCTGTAGACCAGGCTGGCTTGAATTAACAGAGACCCACCTGCCTCTGCCTCCTGAATGCTGGGAATAAAAATGTGCACCACCACCACCCTGCCATAATTTTCAATCTCTACCTCCTCCTATTTAAGTATGCATTCATTCATTCATTCATTTATTCAACAAATGAGAGCTGAACAAAATAGCATCTCAGAGGCTTATAGTACTAAACAATGTTAACATACATACAACTGTAGTCAGATGGAAATGTACCCAGGTCACTGAGACACAAAAAAAAAAGAAGATGCAAGCAGTGGTTCAGAATCCTAACAGCTGGATGTCAAATGGAACCAAAATTGGTAAAGAAGTAAAATATAAGATCCAAGGGAAAAGATGCAGAAGTTCCAAACCTGTGGAACTAGAAGAGCATTGCCATTAACAAGACCAGGGACATCAGAAGAAAAAGTCATAGAGGGAGCATGACTGAAGGATGTACTTGCCAAACTGCAAATCACAACACAGGATCAAAGAATGGATTTCAACCCCAGAATATTAGAATCTCCAGGAATGGGTAATTTGAGAGGACAGTGCTATTGAATATCAAAATGAACTACACCAGAACACACACACACACACACCTAGGTTACATGGCTTCAGCAGGTATATAAGAAAACGTGGAAAAGGTAAATATGGTAGCAAGTATGAAATCTACTGCCCTACAAGGCTGTTTTGCTTTGGGAAATTTTTAATGGCTTTGGAGTTGCTGTCTGATTTTTTTCTTTCTTAAAATACTTAGCATCTTCATATATCCCAGGGACTTTTACTCAAATAGCTTTAGGTACCTTTGTATATTCTAAAGTACCCATGTGCTATCAATGGTATATATACCTGATTAATACTCAATTAATTAAATTGCTGCAGGTGATCCTTCCAGGTCTCATTGATAAACTTAGTTCCACAATGCTGAACCTCTTAAGTTATTAAAAGCATCATTAGATGAGGTTGCCACACAGAAATCTACTGCCAAGTCAAGACTAACAACTCTCTTCAGGGCAATAACATAACAACTGCAGGGTAGACCTAAAAATCACAGTGAATATGCCAAAACTACCAATCTGGGGAGTTTAAATTGGTGAATTGTACAGTACAGAGGAACTCAATAATGCTGTACTTTAAAAAAACATTCAAAAGCTTCTTAGCAACACCTGGGGGAAAAAATCAACAAATATGTTTTAACCAAAATGTCGCCTCAAGAAACTTTAATCCAGGCACTAAGTTATTGCTCTTAAATATTTAAACTTCTAGAAATTTTTATGAAATGGAAACCCTGCTAAATTGTGATGACAAAATCATTATCATTCTAACTTAAGAAAATAAATTGACCAGCAGTCCCATGCCCTTCACTGTAATAGGAGCTGATCTGTATCACACATCAAAATCTGCCTTAAAGGTCCGATGACAACTTTTAAAGGGGCACTTTCATATTTAATCGCAAAGGCCAATACTGCAATCAGGCTTTGCCACAGCCCGGAACACTTCCCACCCCCTTCTAACACATCTGCCTGCTGTTGTTAAGGTAACGGCAGGTTATTTATGCCCTCAGAGAGACAAAGTGGCTCAAGAATATAAGAAGCAGACTGTGAACTCTATGAGGGAAAGGGCTATGACTTGTCCACTGTTAGAAACTCTAAACATCAGGCAGAGTATCAGGATACTCAATAAATATCCCTGCCTGTCATTAAACTTTGGCCCACTCAGAGAATCGGCCCACAAATAACTATGGAACCAGGCTATTCTTGGGTATTTGTGACATTAGGAGAAAGCCCCTTAAGTCCCAACCTCAGTTTCAGTGACTAAATTAGTCTGTATCTAGAAAGACTAAATGATTAATTAGTCTTTCATTAGTCCCATAAAGCTGTGATGGAAACTCAAAACCTTCTCATTTAAAAATGGCAACACCTTTCCCAACTTTTTTCCTACAAGTTATCTTTTGGGCACAAAAACAGATCCAGAAGTCCAACAGCTTACCTCCTGATTTCTACTTATCAGCCTACGATTAGCAGGTTCAGGATGGGACTGATGGCCAGGGCCTTGGAAGAGGCCAGACAGGAGAGAACAATGTAACTAAGCAATGTTTACAGACTGACAGCTCTTCACAGGAACATACCTGATACTTGTATCTACTCATACATTAATTGTAAGGATTAAATGAGATAATATTTGCAAACCACTTAAAAGTGTACTTATATAGTTAATAAGGTAACTCTCAATCAGTTTCCAGTGATAGTCACTCAGATCTTAGAGAGCTACCATGCCTAAAAAAATTAGGAGGTTTAGAGAAACATTCTAATTGTACACTTTTTAAATCTAGGACTAGAAAGAAAGAAGTACCAGGTTCATGCAAGCTCTTCATTTCATGGCTGGAAGAAATTAATCAGATAACTCATAATTGTAGAAAAACGTTATACATTTAAAGCTTTCACAACTCGTATTAAATTTGGTTCTCAAGGCCGGGTGGCAGTGGTGCACTCCTTTAATACCAGCTCTTAGGAGGCAGAAGCAGGCAGATCTATGAGTTCAAGGCCAGTCTAGTACACGGACCAAGTTCCAGGTCAGAGAAACAGAAAACCCTGCCTCAAAAGAACAAAACAAAACAAAATGGTTTCTCACAACAGCTCCTAAGGGTTGCAGGACAAGTGTAACAAACTCTATTGACTTGTAAAAAACCTGAACCAGAGAGGCTGCCCAAGGCCACACAATTAGTGAAAACATCTAGACCAGGTGCAGGTATCTGGATGTCCCACCCAGACTTCTTTCCTGTAGGCTGCAACTTGGGCTCAGGGCTTACTGAAGTCGTGGGTGCAAGCATTGATTTCAAATGCTAAAGGAAAAGTCCAGAAAGCTGGGGTTATCTACGTACAGCTGAGTGGTAACGGGTTTGTCTGTGGCGCTTGAGGCTCTACAATCTCCAGTGCCGGAGGGGAAGACAAAGACAGACAGAGAGAGATAAGAAGAGAGATTCTGGCACAGTCTTGAAAACGTGAACTGGAAAAGTTAAGGCAATTCCGTTCAATGGAATTAGAGCTAATTAATAATCAATTGTTGGCAAAACACCCATTGAAACAATAATACAAGATACCACGATTGCATACACCACAACTGGCCGACACAGATTTTCTGAAGTCTCTCCAAAATACGCCATTCAGAGAGAGATTACCAGACTCAGAGAATATGGGCGTCGGTTTAAGACTGAAAAGACTGCCACTTCCCCTAAACGAAGACTAAAAGGGAAAGGTTCGCCGGAAAGGAGGGTGAGGACGCGGAGCTAACGAGGCTCTCGGGGATAACGCGCAGATTGCAAACTGCCAGCCACCGACGAGCCTGAGAATAAGCTCGCCATCGCCTGGGCAGCATCTTCCCGAAGGCTCCGCACCCCAGGGCAATGGCAAGAACCCTGCGGCTAAAGGTGAAAGCGGACTGGCCCTGTCTGCAGAATCCGAAATCATCTCCCCGAGAGGCTGCCTGGCGCATACCGGCACAGGACGTTATTTTAAGCGCGCGACCCCGGACAGCGGCCAGAGCATCTGCCCAAGAGCATCCCACCCGAAATGGGCCCAGGAGGCAGAGTAGGGAGGTGCAGCCGGGCAGGGAGGCGCAGTCCGGCAGAACCCACCCCGTGCTACAACCACCGACCCCCAGCGCGCGACCCCTCCCCAGGGCGCGGCCCCGCGCGCGGCGCGCGCATTACCTTGGTGTAGAGCTCGGACGCGGCCATGGCGGGCCCAGCGCCGACGCCCCCCGCCTGGGCGGAGGCCGCAGCTCGCGTGGCGGCCGCCCGCGCGGGTGAATCGGTGGCAGCGGGCGGGGAGCAGGGGAAGGGCCGGGCAGGGCGGGCCGCGCTGGAGGGCGGGCGGGCCCGGGCAGGGCGGGGCGGGGCTCGTCAGGCGCTCGCTAGCGGCGGGCGGGCGGCAGTCAGCCGGTCATCACCCCCGGGCTCGCCGCGTGAGTCCGGCGCGCGTGCTCGGGGGTAACCGGGGGGTGGGGGTGGGGGCAACCGGGAGCAGCCGGGGCCGCCTCGGTCTCCACAGCCGCCCGCTCTCCACCGCCCTTGAGGTCTCCTCAGCAGCCTGGGGTCTTCAGCGTCCTCGGTTTCCTAGGCTGTTTCGCCTCCTCGGAGGTCTCCCGAGAGGCCTGGTCTCTGCAGCCTCCTCGGTCTCCTCAGCGGCTCTCGATGCTGCCGCCGCCGCCGCCGCCGCCGCTGCCGCCGCCGCCCTGTGCATTGTGGGAGCGGGAGGAGGCTGCGCTCGAGCGTGGCCGCGGCGACTGCTCCCCGCTCTCTCGGGCTCACGCTGCCTCCCATCGGCAGCGGGCACCGAGCATCATCAACCCACGCGGCTGACATCCCAAACCCTCCTTGGCAGAGTCCCCCGTGGCCGCGAACGTAGGACAGTGCGGGAGCGTCACCCACTCCAGGGGCTGCGGTGGCAGGTGCTGTTAGAGTGTCCCGCGCGGACCAGGGAGCATGAAGGCTGCTCCCCGACAGGCCCAGCTATTTCTAGGGAGAGGACTTAGGGTAAGGAAGGGTTCGTGGAAGGCATCTCTATAACCTGCAACTCCAGAAGAACCGTGCGGGCTGCAGGGCTGGGAAGCTGAGCCTTGCACCACCCGGAATTGGAGTTGAAGGATGCCCAGGATCAAGCTGAAGTTGAGTCTGCAACAGGGTCGCTTGGTGATGGAAGAACATAAGATGGGCTCTAACACTCAGAAACTCTAATGAACCTGAAAACAAGATGGCCCTGGGGAGCAGTTGCCACCTTATACCTGTCTGTATGCTTGCATGAGTTCACCGACCTTTAAGAACAAGAACTCTGCTGACCTCTTAGGCTCGGTGGTACTACCTGAGGCTGATCTTGAAGTCACCAGGAAAAGGCAGCCGACTAAGGGAAACTCCAGTGCTTGCAACCTTGACTCAGTCTACTCGGTGCGCTTACACAGGAATGTGGTCCTTTCATCCCAACTTGCCGTGTCTCTCCGCCCACACTTTCACACATACTTTTTTTCACACATACTTTGTTGTAGGAGGCGGCTTGCTCGTTCTGGCGGCTCAGACCCAAAATAACCTGTATTAATTAAATCACTGCTTGGCCTATTAGCTCTAGCTTCTTATTGGCTAGCTCTTACATCTTAATTTAACCAATTTCTATTAATCTGTGTATCCCCACGTGGCTGTGGCTTACCAGCTAAAGTTCCCAGTATCTGTCACAAGTGGTGGATCCATGGCTTCTCTCTGACTCTGTCCTTCTTTCTCCCAGCATTCAGCCTACCTTTCCCTGCCCACCTAAGTTTTGCCTTGCTATAGGTCCAACGCAGTTTCTTTATTAATTAATGGTAATCACAGCACACAGAGGGGACTCCCACATCACAATACTTGGAATAATCTTTCAAATTTTCAGCCTTTTTGGGTGCCCATCTTTCTTATTTCTTTAAACTGTAAGTGGTAGCCAGTGCCTGTCATGAGAACTGGGACCAAATTTAATTTGTTTCCTTGGTTTTTAAGGTGGGTCTCACTAAGTAGCCCAGGCTGGCTTTGAACTCTCCATCCTCCTGCCTCTGCCTTGCAAGTGCTGAGATTTTAGAAGTGTGATTCTGAGCCCAGTCCAATCAAGGTCTCTGGTGAGGTTTTGTATATTCTATAACAAACAAAGCCTGCCTGAAGATCAGAGTGCAAAGCTAAGCCATAGAGGCCAGGCAGCCTTTAATCCCAGGTTGACTCAGGAGACAGATCTCTGTGGGTTCAAGGTCACCCTGGTTACTTGAGATTGAATCTGTCTAAAAACAAAACAGAGCTCACACAAAGGTGATCCTAGAATTTTGGGACCACGTGACTTTAATCCCAGCACTAGCAAGGTGAAGACAGGAATGGTGTAGCTGGGTGAAAAGAGGAATACAAGGAGGGAGGAGACAGGAGCTCAGAGCAGTCTGAGGGAGGCAGTCTGAGAATTCGGTCATAGATGCAACCTGAGGATTTGTAAGGACAGGATCACCCCTCTGGTCTGAGCATTGGTAGAGGTAAGAACTCTAGTGGTTAGATGCTCTGCTTCTCTGATCCTTCAGCTTTCATCGCCTGATAGATGACTACGAGTTTTCTTATTAAGATCAATTAGAATTCATGCTACAAAGGTCAGTGCACGCGGCTGGCTCCATGCTTGTGTCTGAGCTTGAGGAATGACTATTTGAAGATTATTCACTAACGGGAAGACAGAGTGAGTCTTCAGTTCCTATAACTCAGTCTTTTTTCCCATTTGCTCACAATCCCACAGTTTCTTTAGAATGCCAGGGAGAATGGCTACAGATTCCTGCACTGAAATCATGTCACTTTGATGGTTCTGGATTCCATCCTTTCATTGTGCAGCTGTGAAAAGAGACAAGATGTGCTTTTGACCAGCAGAACATAAAGATTTGGGAGATTTAGCTTCTTTCTCTTATACTTCCTTCTTGCTGTACAAGGTGCCTGTTTACCCTCTAGATGGTACCTACCTGTCAGAACTGAGTATGATGGAGGAAAGCCTATACACCCAAAACAAAACCCCAAGAGTTTTTATAAAAGTGATTTTTTAGATGAATAAAAAGAATATTGGAATGATAATTTTCAAGCACATGCATCCAACCACCCAGATGTTTGAGGTCATAGTAAGAGAATGGGGAGATGAGGAAGAGGAGCAAGGTTTCCTTTTTTGGTGGTGATGGGGGTAAAATCTCTTTGTGGGGCTGGGGCTGACCTGGAACCATCTTACTTCTCCCTTCTAAGTACTGGGAGTACTGGAATTACAGGTGCATGCTGCCATATACAGTTGGGAAATGGGTTTCTGACCACAAACCTCTTGCTTCATTCAGGAAAAGAACAGACAAATCCCAGGCAACTGGCAGTGGGCATTCTGATGGATGGACTCTTCTAGCTTCTGCATATATATTCCAAAGCACTCTGTCATTAGTAACAACTGAAAATCAGGAGTAAGGTCCACACTCCAGAAATAGGCATAAGGAATTGTAAATTTTGGTGTAAATTGATAACATTCTCAGCTATTACTTTATAAATTAACATTTTCTTGTGGGCTGTTTTCAAATGAAAACACTGTCCAAGTTTAAATGAAAAACAAACAAAACCAAAGCCTTTCCTCCAAAGTTCAGGTGCCCCTTGACTTTCTCTTTTTGACTCAAGTGAGACATGTCCTGACAAACTCATTAGAAATTAGAAATACTGTTAATTTGACATCCTTTTAATGCACCTAACCCACTGAACAACTGCGGCATAGCCTCACCTATCTTGAACCTGCTCAGAACACTTGAATTAGCCTATTGTTTGGCAAAGTCATCTAACGCAAAGCATAGCTAATGATAGGTAATTATGGCATACTTGTCAAAACTGTTGGCAACTGTAGTATAGGCACCAGTTATTTACTTTGGTAATACCCTGGCTGACTGGGAGATACGGCTTACATCTGCTCAACAATATAAAGCAGTATCTTACTGAATGGCACTAGGTTAAAAAAAATAATAAAATTCAAAAATTCAGGACTAGAGAGATGGCTCAGTGGTTAAAAGCACTGACTGCTAATTCAATTCATGTGAGTTCACAACTTAGCACCCACATGTTGGCTCACAACTGTCTCTGATTCTGGTTCTAGGGAATCTGATGCCCTCTTCTGACCTCCATGGATACCAGGCACACAGACATACAAGCAGGTAAAACATACATACACATAAAATAACTGCTTAGGATAAAACTGGGGTGGTAGCAAGTGTTACAGCACTTGCCTTGCATGTATGAGACCCTGGGTTCCACTACAATACTACCAAAGAGAGGAACTGGGAGAGAAAAAAAGAGTACATTTTCTACTGAATATCTGCCACTTTCATACAAACATAAAGTCAAAAATTGAATATTGGAACATTCCAAGTCAGGGACTGTAGACAGACTTTTCTTTCCATCTACCAGTTGCCAAAAACCTGGAAAAAGAGACTCAAAACTAATTATAAATGTTTGGCCAATAGCTCAGGCTTCTTACTAGCTAACTCTTACATTTAAATTAACCCATATTTCTTTTTTAATTGATTTTTATTGAGTTCTACAGTTTTCTCTGCTCCCCTCCCTGCCTCTGCCTCCCGAGTGCTGGGATCAAAGGCGTGCGCCACTATCGCCTGACTCATCAGTGGTTTTGATCTTGGCCATTCTTACAGGTGTAAGATGGAATCTCAGAGTTGTTTTGATTTGCATTTCTCTGATGACTAAGGATGTTGAATAATTCCTTAAGTGTCTTTCAGCCATTTTACATTCCTCTGTTGAGAGTTCTCTCTTTAGGTCTGTAATTCTCTTTCTTAGTAATATCTTTATGTGGTTTGGGTATCAGGGTAATTGTAGCCTCGTAAAAAGAGTTTGACAATGTTCCTTCTGTTTCTATTGAGTGGAACAATTTGAGGAGTATTGGTATTAGTTCTTCTTTGATAATCTTGTAGAATTCTGAGCTGAACCATCTGGTTCTGGGATTTTTTTTTTTTTTTGGTTGGGAGACTTTTGATGACTGCTTCTATTTCTTCAGTAGTTATAGGTCTGTTTAATTTGTTTATCTGGTCTTGATTTAATTTTGGTAAATGATATTTATCCAGAAAGTTGTCCATTTCCTTTAAGTTTTCAAATTTTGTGGAGTACAGGTTTTCAAAATATGACCTGATAATTCTCTGTATTTCTTCCTTGTCTGTTGTTATGTCCCTTTTTTATTTCTGATTTTGTTAATTTGGATATTCTCTCTCTGCCTTTGGTTAGTTTGGATAAATGTTTCTCTATTTTGTTGATTTTCAAGAAGAACCAGCTTGTTGTCTCATTAATTCTTTGTATTGGTTACTTTGTTTCTATTTTGTTGATTTTAGCTCTCAGTTTGATTATTTCCTGCTTTCTAGTTCTCTTGGGTGCCTTTGATTCTTTTTGTTCTAAAGTTTTCAAATGTTCTGTTAATTCACAAGTGTGGGATTTTCCAGCTTTTTAATGTAGGCATTTAGTGCTATGAACTTTTCTCTTAACACTGCTTTCATTGTGTTCCATAAAATTGGGTTTGTTGTGTGGTCATTTTCATTGAATTTTGGGAAGTTTTAAATTTCTCTCTTTATTTCTTCCTTGACCCATTGATGATTCAGGTGAGCATTGTTTAATTTCATGTGTTTGTGGGCTTTCTGGAATTAGTATTGCTGCTGAATTCTAGTGTTAAGCCATG